GGGTGGTGGCGAGACAGGTAAGGGTGAATTAAAAGGTTTTCAGTGAGGTCAGCCCAGAAATCGGCCGTGGAAGTTTGCTAACCATGAAGTCTACATTTAATCTGCTGCAATTGTTATTTCTTATAAGTACGTGTTGAATCAGGGGAGGAGGTGTTTTAGGCCAAAAAGAAGAGGAAGAAGAAAAAAGGATGGGGAGAAAGATTCACTCCTGCATGGACATATAAACAGAAAAGCTATTATTGCCTCTTATATCAGCTTTTTTTTTTTAAGTACAGTGGTTTATTTTCTAAACCAAAAAAAGAATCTTTATGAGTTAATATGTGAATATTGTTTATAAAAGAGGTATAATATGTTAGCCATTATGGACTCATATAAATAAGCTTTAGCTATATAAAATATATAAACATATTAAAATTATTGCATAGGACTTTGGACACTTAAAGATTTCCAAGGTTTCGTAATTTTGTCTAAAAAACCTAGAGAGTTCCAAGGCTGGCAGCTTATTTCCTTCGTATATTCCACTATCAAGCAAAGAGGTGTGGGGGTTTTTGTTTGTTGCTTTCTTTTTCCTGGTTTTGTCATTTACAGTGATCTGGACAGATTACTCCGAAATGTCTGTTGCATGTGTTGGTGTTGTTTATCCACATCGAATCATCAGAGATTCATTTTTCACTTTACGTCCTGGAAAACCTAAGGGAATTTTCTAGTAAGAAGAAAAACACACAAACTGTGTCTTCACTGTTGGGTAACTCTCAGATTTGTACCACTCAAAGCCTTTCGTAAAACTGAGTTAACGGGATGTTTACTACCGGAGTAATTGCCTTGCACTTAAACACCTGGTATTGAAAATGTTTCTCCTGGGAAGCACGTTTTTTTTTTTCCAAGTCTTTTCTTTTTGGATTTGACATGTTCTTCTAGAGGAAACCAGAAGTGGTGGCCCTAAGCTACCTCCCTTCAGGACCACGCTCTACCATCGGTTTGTCAAAAAAAAAATGATCCAGGTGTTAAATCCGTTTCGTGTTCTGTGATTCTGTGGAAGACTCAATGCTTTTAGAGCCCAGAGCTTTACTTGTTTGGGTTTGTGGCTCTAATGACGTGCTAAGCTTATTTTTTGCCACCCAGATTGATCAGAAGAAGCAAAGTGGGGGGAAGAAGGCCCCTTGCTGCAGAGAGCCACTCCCCGCCTTAACAACTGAGAGAACTGCACTAGAAACGTGAAAAATCCATCTGCTCTTCAGGCAACGAGGGGTCAGCACTGAAAGTGCAGAGATTACCCAAGTCTCCTTTGCCAAGAACATGTGTTGTTCCCAGCTCTGAGCTTGTGCAGCCTGCTATGTATTTTAGCATGAGACAATAAAAACGAGTTTATTTTCATTTAAGAGAGTTGTCCCTCGGGCCTATTTCTTTCTTTCTTATTTTTTTTTTTTAGTGTCTGGTTTGGAGAGGCCAGTGACATAGATTATGCCAACACGGAGCACTTAATTTTTCGCACAAGGGGGTTAGCTCCTGGCAGCTGCTCTGGACATCCAAAAGAGAGGACTGGAATGATAGGAATCACTTTGTCAAATAGGAACTGCTTAGTTTCTGTGGGGACGGGTGAGGGCAGGGGCAAGTAACACTTCTGCTCAGCACAGGCTGAGGTCTGCACAGCCACGCGGGCCCAGGCTGAGGTCTGCACAGCCACGCCCTAGGCTGAGGTCTGCACAGCCACACGGACCCAGGCTGAGGTCTGCACAGCCATGCGGGCCCAGGCTGAGGTCTGCACAACCATGTGGGCCCAGGATGGCCTCTTGGCCAGAAGCCTTCTCTGCTGCTTCATGCAGAGATTGGGAGCATAGCCCCAAGAGCCTGGCTGCCTGTGTTACAGCTGTACTTACCCTCTCAAGTTCTTTTCATGGGAAATACAGATATAATAGCACCTTCCTGAGGAACGTTACAATTCAATGTCTTAAAACATATATAGAGTTTGTACAAGTTAGTAAAATTGGTGTCTTACACTAGGCTCAGTAATATGCACCTGTAATCCCAGCAGCTCAACGAGGCTGAGGTAGGAAGATCAAGGCTATCAAGGGCAACAAGGGTTAAAGATCCTGTCATTAAAAGAGAGTTCTGGGAGTCAGCAGGTGACAAAGTGGTCAAGCCGTTGGACTCCACATGGTCAACTGTGGTTCAAGTCCCAGACTCAGCTTGAAATTTACACAGGGTACATGTGCATGTGTGCCCAAAATCTTGACAAGAGAAGGGATTGCTGTGTGACCACCCTACCACACACACACACACCCCAGGCGGAGGGGGGAGAGGAGTGTTTTCTTGCTTTCTGACTCTCTGGCAAGCACGCATGCCCTATGGACAAAAATCTCTCAAAAAAAGAACAAAAGAGCTCTGGGGAGCTAGCAGGTGGCATGGTGGTTAAGGCATTGGAGTCCCGAACAGGGCTGACCACTGTTCGAGTCCCAGACCCAGCGGCTTGAAAATTATGCCAGATATGTGTGTACGTGTGCCCAGAATCACAAGAGGAGAATGGAGGAGAAGGGATTGTAGCGTGGTTGGGAGGGGTGAATTTTCATTTTCCCTCCCTATCTCTCTCTGTTGAGCACATGCACCCTAGGGCAAAAAAAAAAGAGAGAGAGAAAGAGAGAAAGAAAGAGAGCGAAAGAAAGAGAGAGAAAGAGAGAAAGAAAGAAAGAGAGAAAGAAAGAAAGAAAGAAAGAAAGAAAGAAAGAAAGAAAGAAAGAAAGAAAGAAAGAAAGAAAGGAAGGAAGGAAGGAAAGAAGTGTTTCTGGGAGTGGTGGCTTAATTGCCATGGCAAGACCCTAGCTTAAAAAAAAAAAAAATCAGTCTTTTACCACCTTCATAATGTTTGCCATATCTACATACCACCTATGCTATTTACTTAGTAGTCTTAGTTTGACTCAATTTTCATCTAAAATTTAATTTTAAAAAATTTTAATATTCTGCTGTACTTGAAAAACTATTCAATAGTATAATTTGCTATAAATGCAGGTAATTCATAAAATAGTAAGAACTCATATGTATTGAGTTCTTGCCAGACATTGTGCTAATTCTCCTGCTTTATAATCCTCACAGCCCCATGAGGTCAGTACTATCATCACCCCCTCTTAGAGATAAGGAAACCAAGACAGAGATCTTAGCAGATTTGCCTATGGTTGCATAATTAGTAAAAAGAGAAGTTGGAAGCTCAAGAACCCAGTTTCTTTAGTGTCATTCTGTGCTGCTGCCCTAACAAAAGCAAAATGTTTGATTCACATGGTACATGGTTGCTATGTTGGCTTCCTAGGTCTGTTGTAATAAATTATCACAAACTAGGGGCCAGCTGGTGGCATGGTAGTTAAGGTGCTGGAGTCCCACATGGCCAACCATGGTTCAAATCCTGGACCAGGCAACTTGACATTCACACTGGGTACGTGTCTGTGTGTGCTCAGAATCCCAAGAGGAGAATGGAGGAGAAGGGATTGCAGTGTCACCATCCACCCTGGGAGGTGATTTCTCACTTTTCCTCTTCTCTCTCTCTCTCTCTCTCTGGTGAATGCACTATGGCAAGAATCTAAAAAGTAAATTAAATAAATTTTAAAACTTTTAAAATGATCATAAACTGGCTGGACTAAAACAATAAAAGTGTATTCTGTCATAGTTCTGTTCAGAAGCTAGATGTTGGCAGGACCATACTCCCTTTAAAACCCCTGGGGAAGGATCCTCCCTGTCCTCTTTCAGTTTCTAATAGCCCTAGGCATTTCTTGGCTTGTGGCAGCACCATTCAAATCTGTGGCTCCATGTTCAAATGACTGTCTTCTCTCTGTCTGTTTCTAGCTCTATGTCTCTTCTCCCTCTTAAAGGAAATCAGTCATATTTGGATTGGGACCAATCTTAACAACTTCATCCTAACCTGATCACATGTGCAAAGCTCTCATTTCTTAATAAGGTCACATTCATAAGTACCAGGGGTTATGATTTCAACATATCTTTTTGTTTTTTTGTTGTTGTTGTTTGTTTGGAGAGGTTTTCGCTATAGGGCACGTGCGCTCGCCAGACAGACAGAGAGAGACATAGAGACAGAAAGCGAGAAATCCCCCCCCGGGGGGGATGGTCACGCCGCAATCCCTTTTCCTCTATTCTTCTCTCGGGATCTTGGGCACGCACGCACACGCGCCCGGCGTGAGTTTTAAGCCACCGGGTCCGGGATGCGAACCACGGTCAACTACATGGGAGTCCAGTGACATAGCCATTACTCTAACTGCTGGTTCCCTGATTTCAACATATCTCTTTAAGGATAGATGTAATTCAACCCATAACAGTTGCGTACGTAAAACTTTGAACCCAGGGCCTAAAGAAGATGTGTTAGTGTTCGGTGGTCAAAATGAACACCAGTCTGAGACCTTTCTCTTTATACAATCAGGACGAAAGGACTCAGTTCCCAGTGGGGAACAGATGGTGGCACAGCAGTGAAACACGATGCTCTTCAAGGCTGACCTCCTGAGAAAGGTTCAGGGTCTAGGTCTGGAGACCTCCCTGAGCATGAACACTTACGGGTTTCCATGCGCATGCCCATGGCACCTAGACCTTGTTGGGGGTGCTCTCTCTATCTCTGTTTTTTTCCTCATGGAAGAAATAAAGAAACTTTAAAAAGAATGCAAAAGAGTCAGGACAAAGGGAAAGACAATGGCCTATGTGTTGTGGTGATACTTAGTCCCAGTGCAGGTGCAATCTAAAATAAACCACCTTCTGCCTCATTATTGACACTTTGAGAAAGTGGCTTGGCATAAGAAAGGCATGTAGTTCTTCCAGCCTCTCAGACAGCCCTCATGAAAAGAGATGGTAGCTGAAAGTGGGGTGGGAGGGGCAACTTTCCAAAACTCCAAAAGAGGGGACACAAAACTCACCTCTAAAGTCTGCTTTATATGGCTGGAAAGGAATAGCAAAGCAGACCAACCAAGTCGTCACTGGGACATTGTGCAAAGAAAGACACAGTACAGACAGTGGAGGGGAGGGATCATTTGTTTTCATGCCATTTCGGTGAAAAGAAAAACAATCTTGCTACTAGAGGGGTTTAAGAGAAAGACATGGGACATAAGGACAAGGGGTTATCTTGCTCCATCAAATCATGGTGTTCTTGATTGAAGGGACAGCACAGACTTCATAGAGTTCAGAGGTCCTTATCTTGAGTTCTCGGGCCACCTGACAGATGGAAAAAGGCCAACAGCAGTGCGCCACCAGCCAGTCCTCACACAGTGTGCCCTAGGGCAAGACCAGAGTCTCTGTTCTGTCATAATCACACAGGCTCTTTCCTCCTACCTGGAGACTATAGTATAGTACCTGCTGGCTCATATCATCCCCTACAGCCGTAAGTCAATTCTCAGGGATCCTGGGTTGCCCAAGTACCATGAAGCTCAACTGCTGGTTGATGCCTGCAATTCAGAGCCCTACCCTTAGGACTTTTGATACTTGAAACCACTGACGTTAACATCTTGGGACCTAATCTATTAATCTTGGAACCAACATCTGTTAGGACTGGGTATTTACAATGATATATTTTTCAGTTCTTCAGAGTGGGTAATAAGTGCATATGGTCCAAAATTCCCACAGTAAGAAGGGATAGAAATTAAAAAGATAGATATAATCCCAGCTGGCTACGGCTGGGGGTAGATCACAGCATGAGGACCCTGTTGGGAGTCTGGCTGTCTCTCTCTCTCTCATAAAAGAAATAAATACATTTTTTTTTCAAATGTATTGTAAGGATCATTTCATGGAATAAATAGAGATGCCTTTTTTAAACTGTCCACTTTTCTCTCTCTCTCTCTCTTTTTTTTTAGATAGAATCTTGCTATGCTACCCAGGGAAGTCTTGAGTTCCCAGTCCTCCTGCTTCAACCTCCCTAAATCACTGGGATAACAGGTGTATGTCACCACACCTGGCTGTTAGGTAGAACCAGGAATCCAGCTGGGGCCTTCCTTGCTGCACCTGTTCACCTTGTAATATGTATGACCTGTCTTTCCCCAACCTCTAGTATACCTCAGTCTCAGCTGCCTTGGAAATTGTCTGACTCTTTGAGGTGTTCCTAGGGAACTCCCAAAGTAGATTCTGCATATGTCACCTAGACTATCTTTTATATAAATAGCAAACTAGAGTATCCAAATTTGGTGTAATTCCATCTGTCATCTCTTCATGGACTAAGAGAGAGACAGAAATGTTTTATTGACAAATATGGCAGGGAATCTACATTATTTAGGGGCTATATCTAATCACAGCCACATCCTCCTATTCTTTGTCAAAGCACAGCTCAGAGAGCACAATTTGGCCAAGGGGCTGGGCAACCCCACTGGCCAACAATCTGCACTATAATTTCCTCTTGGAAATATGCTTTGCAATATGGCATTTTAGCTAACTTACACTTTCTGGTAAAGAATGAAGTCAGAAATTTCTTTCCTTTCCCGAAGTTTCCCATTAAGTATGGTATTTTTTTAAGCATCCTTGCTTACACTTTTTTTTTTTTTTTTTAAATCACAGTTTGGAAGGCCTCCAGGTTTTCAAATAGATCCAGGTTCATATCTACCATCAAACATACTTACCCGTATTTTATGTCTCTCTCTGGTGCCAATCCTCAGTGCAAAGGTGGACCCAGGTAACAATGGCCAACAAGGACACTCTCCATAATGCCTGGCAATGTCACACTCAAGACATAGCGGACAAAACAGACCACAAAAGCCTGTTGAAAAAAACACATAAAAGAAAGGCAAGGTTCTCAGATGTTCTTGGAGCAACTTCACATCTCAAACAGCCTTTATAACCCTATGCCATCAATTTAATGCTGCATTGTCTCCCTGCAATCAGGAACAGAGAATGAATAACCAATTCCTCAAACCTCAGTGTGTAAAAATTGCCATAACTGAGCCACATCAAAATTGTCTTCTTTTGTTAAACACTGACAAAACTGAACCTGATACAATTCTGTTAGCATTGACTATGGTAATTGTTTTTTCCTGTCAAGAGAAACGTGTTCAATAATTTTTTACAGTTGAATCATAACTGTGGCTTCTATTATGTTCCCCTCCCCAATTTCGGTATTTAAAATAGACACAGTAAATAGAATACTTCTGAATAACAAATATCTTTTTCTACAAATGTGATTGAAGACTTTATGGTACACTGATTTTTGCTTCCTATTCTTATCAGGACCTTATTCTATTTCTCAGCCAGAAGGTTATTTTAATTTTTGTTAGTCTCATGGAACCACTGACATCTGCCAGTTTTAATCTGCAAACCATTAGGGGCTTGGTTTCTTGAACATAAACTGGAAACAGTTTGCCATTTATTAGTTCATTCATTTTTACTGATGCTGTATGAGCATTCTGCATGAGCCTTCTAACACAGAGATTCTATTCTAAATATGTTTGGGGTCACAGACCCTTTTGAGAACATGATGATAGCTATGAACTCGCTCCACCAAGGAAAAGAAAAATACGTGCACATAGACATGCAAAATTGTCCATTCAATTTCACAGGGTTCATGGTTCCTCTGAAAACTGTTAACAGATCATGGGTTAAGAACTCCTGATACACAGTTAAGATGTTATGCCATCTAGCATTGCAAAAGAGGACAACCCTGAAGACTGCAAATAATTGGAGTTACAAAATAGCAAATATACCAAGCTAACCATAATCTTCAAAAACTGTATTGAGTGGGGCCAACCTCATGGCCTAGTGGTTGAGAGAGGAGAATCCCATATGGTCAACTAAGATTCAAGTCCTGGTCCTTGCAACTTGAAAAGCAGGCTGGGTGGAGCCGACAGGAGGCATGCTGGTTAAGGCGATAGACTCCAGCATGGTCAACTGTGGTTCGAGTCCCAGACCTGGTGGCTTGCTTTCTCACTTTCTCCCTGCCTCTCTTTGGTCAAATTAAAAAGCAATAATAATAGGGACCAGCAGATGGCATACAGGCTACATCGCTGGACTCCCATATAGTCGACCACGGTTCAAGTCCTGGACCGAGTGGCTTAAACTCGGGCTGGGCACATGTGCGTGCATGCCCAAGATCCCTAGTGGAGAATAAAGGAGAAGGGATTATGGCGTGGCGATCCCCCCAGGAAGTGATTTCTCGCTTTCTGTCTCTCTCCGTCTTTCTGGTGAGCACGCACACCCTATAGCAAAAACCTCTCCAAAAAATAAAATAATAATAATAAATTAAATTAAATTGAATAATTCTGAGAAAGAAAAACAAGCTGAGTATGTGTGCATGTATGCCCAAAATTCCAACTGTATGAAGAAATGGAGAAGGGATTGCAACATGACCACGCACCATAGAGGGATGCTTTCTCCCCTTTCCTCCTCTCTGTCTCTCTGGTGAGCACACACATTCTCTGACAATAAAGATAATTAATTAGCTAATTAACTTAAAATGTTTCAGTGAGTGTTTATTGATTCAAATGTATATACAAAAAACTGCACAGATGTTCAGGGTTCAGTTGGATGTGTTTCAACAATCATACTCATCCAAATGATGAAACATCTAGATAATTGTCTTTACCCAGAGTTCCCTGTGCTTCTTTCAGTCAGTCCAAACCCTACCAGTCCCACTTGAGAAGTAACCACTCTTCTAATTTCCATGTCCATCGATGAGTTTGGGCTTTTCTTGGATTTCATATAAATGGAATCAGGTTTACTTTTCTATCTGGCTTCTTTCATTGCACATGAATGTTTCTTGAGACTCACCTGCTGTTATATGAATCTATAGTTTATTCTTTTTATTGTTGAGTCATATTCCTTTGTATAACTATTCCACAAGTTATTTATACATGCTCCCATTGATAGACATTTGGTTATTCCAATTTTTTTTTGCTATTATGAATAAGACTGCTATGAATACCCATGTATAAGTCTTTGTGTGGACAGACATTTTCATTTCACTTGTGCACATTCCTGAGAGTGGAATTGCTAAGTCATGGGGTGGATGTATTATTTTTTATTCTTTTTTCTTTTTTTTTTTTTTTAAGAGATTTTTGCTATAGGACACGTGCGCTCACCAGAAAGACAGAGAGACAAAAAGTGAGAAATCACCCCTCAGGGAGGATGGCCACACCACAATTCCCTCTCCCCAATTCTCCTCTCTGGATCTTGGGCATGCATGCACATGTATCTGGCGTGAGTTTAAGCCACTGGGTTCGGGATTTGAACCATGGTCGACTACATGGGAGTCCAGTAACATAGCCATTATGCCAACTGTTGGTCCCAATGTATATTTAACTTTACAAGAAATGAGACAGTTCTCCAAAGAAATTGTACCATTTTACACTTTCACTAGCAATATAAGAAAGTTCTAGTTATTCCACATCCTCACCAACATTTTCTATAGTCAGTCTGTTTTTTACTTCAGCATTTCTAGTGAGTGTGAAGTGGTAATCAGCTTAGTTTTGGAGTGCACAGGCTCACATACTGTGACGCCAGTGCTCTAGAACTTTCTACCAGTGGTCTCTCTCTGCCTGCCCCATCCACCCCAACAATGAGCACTGCAAAGACCCACTCCCAAATTCAATGACAAAGAGACAAAAGCTAGGAATGCTCTTTTATCTTTGAACCTCTAAGAAATGCTCCAGGACTCTGCTCTTCTTCAGTTCCACATTGCACACTCACACAAAGCACCTGAGAGCTAGGGGAGAGGGGAAAGAACAACCTTTCTCTGAGAAGCAGGACGTCTATTTCATCCATTCAAGAGTCTCAAGATCATCGCTATATCATCTGCTGGAGGCATTAGTTGGCCCAAAGGAAACCCTGAGTCAGCCTCAAGTAAGTCTGCAATACTTCACCCTGCATTTTTAAAAAATCCTAGGGAGATTAGTTGGCCCCATCCAACACTGACAACGGGTATGAACAGCTTAAGGGATAGCAAATGGTCCAGTAAACTTACAAGTACAAAGCGATCACACCGTGTGCAACCTTGAGTTGAAGCATATAAGAATCAATCAACTCTCACTTGGAGTGTGGGTTCTGCAATAGCATAAATCCCTGGGCATAAAAATAATTTATCAAAAATTGCATAATGGTAAAGATGACAAACTAAATGAATAATCTATTACATGTCTCAGCTGCACCACTTTTACTGGTAAAGAAGAATGCCCACCCTTCTTAGTAAGGATATTGTGAAGTTGTCATTAAGATGCAATGGAACTCCTGCGCCATATTTTATGACTCATACGAATTTTTTAAAAACACATGCTGTTATTTTTAATCTTTTTTTTTTTGGCATATAATCATGTTCTCTAAGTGTTCATTAGGAGATGTACTAGAGGCTGGAGGAAACACACCCAAATTTCCATAACTTCTAAACAAATCAGATGTGATTAAAAAAAATAATAACCCACTATAAAGCTTAAATTTTTATTATATAATTAACTAATATCAATATTTATACAGATTTCATTACATGCTAAACCCTGCTAAAAACACTTTGCCAATAGGGACTGATTTAACCCCCTGCAACAATCCTATAAAACAGGTTTGCTCATTATCCCCATTTTACAGATGAGGAAACTAATGCCCAGAAGACTGAAGGAATTGGCCATTTTTGTACAATTGTTAGTAAGGGACGGAATCTAGATTTGAACTCGCATGGTCTGGCCTGAGTCTATACATATACTATATACATCTGCTATACATATGACTATATGGTCTCATGTTTTGTCTGTTTCTCTGTTATGCCACAATGGTTGTGGATTTGTGTACTCCAAAACAATACCCCCACTATTACTGCTTTATATTTATTCCTGCAAGATAGCCTTAAATCATGCAGCTTCTTTAAGAAAGATCCTTTGGGGCTGGTTGATGGCATGGTGACTGAGACAGCAGTGATCTCACATGGCCAACTGCATAGTTCGAGTCCTAGACCTGGCAGTGTGAGAGACATACCAGGCACATATGCATGAGTGCTCAAAATCCCCAGAGGAAAGCAGGGGAGAAGGGACTGTGACATGGTATACCCCCTGGGGTGCTTTCTCACTTTCTTTCTCTCTGTCTACTGCATGCACACTATGGCAATTTTAAAACAAAAATAAACAAATAAAAAGAGAGATTCTGGAGCCAATTAGATAACTTGGAGATGAAGGTACCTGGATCCCACATGGCTAACTGCACAGTTCAAATCCTGGACCTGGTGGCTTGAAAAACATGCCAGGTACGTGTGCATTTGTGTCCAAAATTCTGAGAAGAAAATGGAAGAGAAGGGATTGCAGTGTGGCCATCTCCCATGTGGGGTGATTTTTCACTTGCCCATTCTCTCTCTCTATCTATCTATCTATCTCTTTGTGGGTGAGTGCACACACCTTGTAGCAATTTTTTAAAAATCAAATTGCATACTGTTATGTACAGAGCAATACCATTTATGATCTGTTTAAACAGTTACAAAGCAATAGCACATGTTAGTAATGGGTACATGTGTAAATACAGAGGAAAAGATCTGGAAGGAAACTTTCCAAATTGATGTTTTATTTTTTTATTCATGATGGAGTCCACCTACATGCACTTGAGAGTGAGAGACAGAGAGAAATAAGCAGCATTCATTGGATCTGGTCATACCATGACCTCCTTCCTCCAGTCCTCCAATCCTCCAGTCCTCCAGCCCATTGGATCCTGGGCACTTATATGTGTCTGGTGTGTTTCAGGTTGACTGCACTGGGAATTCAAAATGTGGTCACCATATGGAATCTGACTTCTCTT